CTATTTAAATTATAACTTGTTAAGTTGCTTTATTTTTAAACCTTTTTTAGTCCTGGATGAGTGAGAACCAATAAGTAGATATAAATGAATATCTGGCAAGTATAACTTAACCATTGCACTTAAAGCACAAGGGTTTACATAGAAAAATATTCAGATTTTATTTTGTGGTTTTAAAGGCTTTACATTGAAGGCAGTGAGAAATAAAGGCATAACATTTTAGTTTTTTTTCTATCTGTTCTCGGCTCCCACACTCTGAGCTGGTCCACTTGCTCAGCCCCTCCTCCTGTTTCAAACTCTTCTAATTAACTAAAAGTTAAAGAGTTAAATATGAATGAGATGTTTGCTACCTTTGACAAGAAAGCTTAAGTCTATGAAAGCAGTGTAGCAGTTTTGCTAACGAGGCAGCTTATCACGATTCAGTCAAAGTAAGAAAATAACAAACTGCAGTCTGATCTTTATTGTGATGTGTTCAGTGAAAGTAAATAAAAGGTGTTACATGTCTTTTAAGTATTTACTTACTGGAGGGTTTTATGTTTGTGCTGCAGAGCCACAGCTAACAGCTAACAGCTAGCTCCTCACTTCAGCGGCTCTAATGAGCCTGTGCTGTTGCTCCTCCTTCACTTTGGACTGAACCATTGTTCTAACAATGGTAGGGGCGACCTAAAAATGAATTCTTATTTTTTTCTGAGATAAGTGGCAGATTTAGTTTGTTCTTTGTTTCTTTTGCCTTTTTATATTGATATTTAAATGCAAATGTTCTTCAATGATTTTTTTGGGGGGTGGGACAATTTTAGACTTTTCCAAGATTAGGGGGTCTGGACCCCCTCAACTCCCCTGGATTTACGCCTAAGTTGCTCATGTAAGACTGGGCTTTTAATAAAAATGCAAGTCCAAAATGTTATCATTGTCACTTTAAAAATTTAAATTAGATTATGACGAGATTTTTTTTTTGACCCAGTCAGTCAAAATGACAGACAACAAAAAGTCTAGCGCAGCAACTGCAACATAGAAACTTGATTGTGAAAAATATTGTAAAATCATGTTAGTCCTTTAAATTTGAAATTATTAAGTTTCTTATTAGGAAAGACACCACATATGACTACATGTAAAATTGTGGTTGTGTGTAGCACTATTTAAAGTGTAAAAGGACTGGATGGAAAAAATCAGAAGACTAGAATTCGTCTACTGGAGCCGTTGTCAGTAATCAATAAAACAATACAAAAGAACTGCTTTCAATACAATGTATTAGACAAAATTAAAGTGAACAATGCAAGACAAACATACATAGGACCAAAAAAAAAACAAACAAAAAAATATACACAGTACTGCGGCAGTCCTTCATTGGTTTGTGCACAAAGGGTCTTGATTTCCCCGCTGGTCAGTCCAAAGGCTGACCGACACACATTCAGAAGTCCATGGTTGAATTATCCAGATATTTAAGTTGAAAATGTCCCAGCGCAAGTTCTTTCGGATGAAAAGATGAATAATGGAGTGTGTGCCTGAGTGGTGAGATGGAGGGGGAATTGATACAGACCAGACCAGGATGAAGTGATTCTTAGGGCTCTCCTGGCTCCAGCCAGTTTTCAGAAGCTCGCCATCCTTTACCCTAAAAAGGAATCACCTGGCCAATTTCAATAATAGTTGGGAGCATGGCAGCTTCAAGGCTCCAAACTCACTGGATTTTTTGGATCTGTAGCTCCTTTGTCTCCAGCTCTCCCCCTCACACCTGACTGGGGAAAGCTGGAGCAAGCCTAAATAATTACATCAGGTGTGTCAATTGGCTGCATGCATTGTGTGACTGACTGTCACTCTAACCAATGGGGCAGTAAGGCGGGACTAAGAGCAGTTTTTTCACCCTGGGTTACATGTGACAGGATAAAAGATGAATAAAAAACCTTAAAGAGGTGTAAATCCTACAGTGGTGTTTTCTGACTCCACACTTCTACTACAGCTCAATTTAAAGCTGCTGTGAAGGTGGAACCCAGACCCCCAGAGGACAGCTTTTGCTTAGAAAACCAGTCGCAACTGGATGCTGACGTTCTGGGTTCATAAACCAAATATTTTGTCTCGTTATATTTATTAATAATGAATGTATGACTGCTTAATTTTGTTTTCCATGTTCACATAATTGCACAGAAATCAGATCTGTTTTTTCAAAGTCACCTCAAGGCAGTTTACTTTAAAACTATTTGACCAAATTCAGTCAAGTCATCTGCAGTCATTTCATTCTAACACAGCTGAGCCAAGGATCTGCTGTGGCTGTGATGGAGAGCAGCTTCCACAGCTTCAGTTCTCATGCTTTTGGTTAGATTGTGATCTCTGACTGGTTGCTCTCTGGATGTCTACTCAGGTTTATTCTTCCATTTGCTTTCACGTCTGGTTCCATTCTGGTAAATTATTGAATGGCTCTGTTCCACACTATTACCAGAGTCAACATAAGCTACAGGAACAGTATTGTTATTTTAATTTATTTTTATTCCTGCATTCATTCCCAGAGTTGTGACTTGAGACAATATTTTGGTTCAGCAATTATGAGAGAAACGATCTGAAATGATCTTTGAGTCACAAACCAAAAAAAGAAGAATAGATAAAAGAAAACAGGCAAAGGTGTTTGTAGTTTCAGAGCTGCAACTGCTTGGACTGATCTTGGGTTGAGCCGTCCCTCAGAGGGGGGCGGCAGACGCTGTTGCTCCGACACAGAGACACACAGCCACGGCTGATGGAAACCTAACGAGGCAGTCTGCTTGTTAGCTGCTAATTGAGCGGTCAGAGCCAAGACTGGAGTGCGCCATCTGTTTGTCACAGAGGAACATCTTGTCGCTTCACGCCCATCAGTGAGCCCCCTTCTCTCTCTGTGGTGTGATATTAATAGCTCATGCCCAGAGAGAAAAATCAAGAAAGAAACTTAAGTAAAGTGATGAAGGGAGGAGGGTCAATAAAAGGTCTACAGAGGAGGATTCTGATACATTTAAACCCAATAGGAAGCAGCCTAGCAATGAGACCATAAATATATTTTCTAAAAATAACTTTTTTTCAAATTTTTGTAACTTTTATTTTCAATGTACGTGAAGCTAATTTTGTAAAGCTGTTTATATTATTGCATTTCTCAACATTTTCCTTGCTATGCCAGTGTTCTGGTTATGATGTGTGTTCTGCAGCCTAGTGCATTTCCTTCTCTTCTTGTGCAGATTGCTTTTTCATATAAAAGGTGTTTAATATGTTCCATAGCAAAAGAACTAGAAGAAATAAAGATCCGTAGATCTTTATTTCAGTGTCACCAAAGCTTTGGGTGGTCAGTCCAGAGAGGCTCGACAGATCCCAGGTCCCTGGTCTCTGCCAACACCAGACCTGTTTTTGTCATTTTGGTGAATTGGTTGTGAAAAATCGGGGTAGATATGATTAGTCTGAATGGAAACATGACAAAAGCTGCTCAGCAATTATAAGACCGCTTTGTTTGCTCTAATTCCAAATAAGGCCTTTCTGTTGATGATTGAGTAGGAAGAAAGTAATTTTCAGCAAGTTATTTTATAATAAAGTATAAATAAATATTTATTTAGACCTCCCCTCTGTTATCTCCTGGAAGACAATCAGAGCCCAACTTGTTCTAACAGTAATAAGTAAATGTAACTCTACCAGAGATGTGAAGGATTCTGTGCAGACATGTGTGTGTGCAGGTGTGTGTTCTCAGCGTCTGCAGACTAAGCAGATTACCTGCCAAGTTTCCCATGAAGGTTTTATCAGCCAAAAGAAGAACATGTATGAAAACCGACTGACAATATGAACATAGATATTTCTTTTTAGCTTTCAGGATGTGTCTTAATATTGTAATGTCTGGTTGAGTTTTGGTCTTCAGAAGGAACCAACCGTTCTGAAGGTGAAACAGTTTCTGTGCTGCTCATCTTCCTTCCTGGGTCACCGGTCGCTTGGCACTGAGCTGCGGCTGTCAGCCAGAGGGAGCTCACTGTGTGTGTGTGTGTGTGTGTGTGTGTGTGTGTGTGTGTGTGTGTGTGGAACCAGCTCAGTGGAGGTGCTAATTTGTTAATGTTTTTCAGTGCAGAATCTTAATTAGTGTTGCAAGCTTCATGCCTAATTTAGTGATTACACACCAGATAAATGAACTCATGTAAATCTCAGGATCTTCAAATTGTTCCACACCTTTCAACCTGACACATTACATATTCTTCATAAACCTATAGAGAAACTGTTACGTCAACCTCTTACACTTTGACCCATCTTATTTGTTTCATAATCTAAGAGGTTTTTTTTCTGTCTACAGTCCATATACTAGTTGACTCTGTCCATTAGTATTTGGACAGAGTCAACTTTTTTCTCATTTTGGTTATGTACAATAAATTTTAAATGATATAATTCAGATTAAGTGCAGACTTCCAGCTTTAACTCAGTAGGTTGAACTAAAACTTGCATAAAAATGTGAGGAACTAAATGTTTTTCAACACAATCACTTCATCTCAGGGCGTCAAAAGTTTTCTCTCCAACCAGCTCATAGGACAACTGCACATGGTTTTCAAAAAGAGGCTATATTATTGGAGTTCAATTGATCAGTGTAAGCCCCGCCCATTGGCTTTGATCTCTGGTTTTGACTGATAAAATGATTTCATAATGATGCTGCAGGAACAGGAACAATGAATCTACATTTATTTAATTATCTGCATTGACTTGTTTAAGTTTGCATTTTAATGATTTAATGAGATATTTAATACATTGGTTGCTAAACAAATTAAACAATTATTTATTTATTTGCATATTTAATCAAAGATCTAAGGATGTATTTATTTAATTTTGTCTTTTAACTCTGTACTATATTTCCTCATATATTGTGCAATCTTTTAGTTCAACCCACTGAATCAAAGCTGAAGGTCTGCAGTTCAGCTGCATCTGAGTTGCTTTATTTCACATCCATTGTGATAATATACAGAACTCTGTCCAAATATTTATGGTAGTTTATGTAGCAGCAGGTTAATTGTCATGCTTGTCCTCAGGGCTGGTTCAGTCCCGGCCAGGTGTTTGTCCTGGATGAGTACTGCGCCCGGTACGGGGTTCGAGGTTGCCACCGCCACCTGAGCTACCTGAAGGATCTCATGGACTACGCCGAGAACAGCGTGCTGGTTGACCCCATGCTGCTGCATTACAGCTATGCTTTCTGTGCCTCACATATCCATGGAAACAGGTAAACAAGCATTATCATGATGGAATAACTTTGGTCCTTTGGTCATCAGAGACAAACATTTGATTCCTAGTTACCCCAAGTATGTGGGACGTCCTGCTACTGTCCTAATGTTTTCAGTTTTTGCTGGATGGCCCAGGGCTACTTTGAGTTGGTTAAGAAAAAAAAACTGAGCAAGTAATGATCTTATGTGAGGTTCTTCAAAGCTCCACTCTTTGGTTTCTCTCAACATTTCACTTCTATCTAATGGGTGTTAGAAAATGATTGTGGTTAGTTAAGGAAAAGTTGATTATTCATACTGAGGACTGTTTGCCTGAAGTCAGTAACTACTGATGTCACAAGGTGACATCTTTGTTCAAAAGGAAAAGTGCTGAGTTCAATGTGACAACATTAACTTGGACTGCAATATAGATTAGCTAATTATAAGTACCATTCATTCAGGCTCTTCATGCCACTAACATGACAATAAAGACAATTATTATTATTGTAACATTATGTTGGTTGAAGTTTTTTATGGAAGCATTAGGACCAAAAAATCAGATCTATTCTTATATCAAGAATTTGGTCGAAACTAGTTATATTTACTCAATTACATTTACTTGAGTAATGTTTTAGAAAAATGTACTTTTAGGAGGATTTTTACTACGCTTCACTTTCTACTTTTACTTGAGTAACTTTATCTATTCTTACATGAGTAAAATTTCTGGATTCTCTACCCACTGAATGAAGAACAAACATGTTTTAACCAAAAATTCACTAGACACAGTTATGTTCTGTTTTCTGTGTCTAGTCCTGTTCCTGTCCTGTTTCCCTGCTGATTGTTCCCAGGTGTGTCTAGTTACCTGATTACCCTCCCTGTGTATTTAAACCCACCTGTTGTCTTTGTCTCTTGTCGGGTCCTCATCTTTGTCAGGCTGTTTGTTAGCCCTCCAGTAGAACTGTATAGTCCTGGTGGGTTTAGCTCCGTGGTCAGTCCTTTGTTTCTGTTGCTACCGGTTTTAGCTTTGCTTATGTTCTCTGCTGTGCCGCCTGAACTGGACTGTTTTGAGCTACTGTCTATTAAACCAATCATCATCACCTCTCAATCTGGGTCCTGCCTGCGTTCACTCTCGCTGCCTCCACCTCAACTCATGACAGACACACGCCTGCAGTTTTTGTTAAAATTTCATAAGTTTTATGTTGAAAGAAACTGATTTGGAAAAGATTATTTTGCCTGATAAGATTTTAGGACTTATTTTAGCTGTATGTTTATCAGAAGTCAAAGTGTCACCATGACATTCATCAACTTGATCACATATTTTATGTTGTCCTATAACATGCAGCCTTATTGTTCAGTGAAAATGCAAAGGTGCTGTACGGAGGTTTTATAGTAGCACGTTTCCATCCAAGTGAGGGAAGTTTGGGTAACACTGAAAACCTGCATATTGCAGATAAAGTAACATATAGTTTTGAACTGGACTGAAATCAAGTTAAGTAGCTGAGATTCTACTAATCAAGACCTTATTTAAGTCTAAAACTTAAAAAAAAATCTTTGCTGTGAATTGGATTACAAGTCTGTGTTTAACTTAAAGTCCCCACAGTTCTGATGCCATGTGTGGTTTGCATTCAAAGCTATGATGTAATTTCACCAATTGCTCACAGGAACTTTATTGGTTCACCAATAAAGTTAATTAGGCCCTGTTAACATGGAGCGGGTTTTCAGTGAAACCGCAACGTCTGAGTTGAGATCCAGCCTCTCTTTTACCCTCCAGGTCTCAGAGTAGATCTTTTCTGTATGGAATATCCCTGGTAGAGGTGCGATGTACTCCACAGGTGTGAAAGCACACATCTACAGGACTCATGGCTGCAGAGTTTGCTCAACGTATGCATGGGCAGACAACTAAACCAATCATGGACTGCATTATGAGCTGCTTGACTCGTTCAGTTTGACTCGTCCTCTCATACGGATTATACGTGTGTCATAGAGATGAACTTTGTGTTTAATACAGATACCACAGTGACCTGTGAGGTCAAAGTGATTTGACGACATACTAAAACCACAGTGCCATCTAGTGCCCTGGCATGACAACTACAGGTGTCTTGGCGGTCGTCTAAACAGTGATGATGTGTTTGAACGTTGAACTGTTTCCAAAATACTGTCATTTTACAGCCAGCATGTGAGCACAGCCTGACTTTAGACTTCTGTTTATATGATGGCAAAATACAACATAAGCTGCAGTAATGAATAAAATCAGTTCTTAGAAGAACTTTACTTTTTAAAACTTGCATGGTAGCTCTAATATTAACAAAGAGCCCAGTACAAAGTTACAGTGGTTGCTTTTCACATTGTTTAACATCATTTCTTCTGCTTGAATCTCCTCTTCACTTCCTGCCCCCCTCTGCTCTTAACAAGCAGGTAATTACTGATATCTGTGCTTTCTCTCTTTGTTGACTCATTTAGTCAATTAGAAAGTGTAATGATTAGCTTCTTCAGTTAATCATCAGATATTACCCGACGCGGGGCGGGAGGGATTACTGGAACTGGCTTTTTGTCAGTCGGAGCTCTAATTTGAATAAATGTTCATTCAGGACTCGCCTGAGTGGGTGTAGAAGGGGGGCAAAGAGATTTTGGATTGCTGGCAGGCGTAATGGTGGCAAGAAAAAAGAATTAATTGTAGAAATGCAAAACTCCCTGGAGGGTTCTTTTGAGAGGAGAAACAGAATGAACCACTGAAGAAAACTTGTCAAATGCATTCAGGCAATATTATACTGTACTTAACTTGTGTGTAATTCTCTGTTTGGTTCCAAAACTTAGTAGCCATCATGATTAATTGTTAATCATTTCAATTAGCTTTGCAGTAAGTAATATTCACATCAGTGTAGATACAAAAACCTTTTTACAGTTTTAATAGTGACAACAATGCAGCTCACTGGTTCTGAACCTCGGAGAAATTTAGTCTGATTTAAGAAGTTAGGCTATAGTTAGTAAGTAGATTACAGTTATAGCTACCAGTAGTTTACTAACCAGTAGTTGATTGGGTTGAAAGTCCAGATGGTGCTAAACTTTCTCTGTAATGTATCAGGACACATGTAAAAACTGGTACTAGTGGGACAGTTCTGTTCAACTTCTGTAATTTCCATACTACAAGCTGCTACTTTCTTCAGATACTTTGAAGACTGCAGTGTGGTGAATATCCGACTTCTTACCAAGAAAAGGTGGGCTGCTGTGTGACGAAGAGATAGATCAAAGTGTTATTGAGAGCGACAACCATAGAGAGACTGAGGAAGAGTGTGTGAGTCCAGGGATGCACAAAAACCCTCACTGCATCTGACTCGCACAAACACAGCCACATCCCCAGATCGCCTCATGCTGGCAGTGCACAAAGCCAGCACAATGCGCCCGGCCCACACAAATGCAGGCCACATGCATGTCGTGGACATGGCCCACAGAACCCGCAATGTGGCTCCTGACGCTCAGTTCCTCACCCACATAAACAGCAAATCTGACTCACATGAAGCCCAGCACACACACAGTGCTATGGCTTATTTGTTAGAAATTCCTGTAAATAATAAAAAAGCCTTCCTGTGTGAAGGAAACTCTTTCCTGCTGGTTCCGTGGCTCAGGTCCTGAGTCCAGAGGAGGATGAGGTGAAGCGGCAACATTTGCTTCATGTCTATTGTTTGTAGTAAACTTTTCAACAAGATCTAGTAGAACAGTGAGTCTGCTGGCAGGAAGGATCTGCTTTAAAGCTCCTGCCTTCTTTAAGGATGCAGCAGAATGGAACTGAGAGAGCTCTGCAGGTCAGCAGCAGCTTCATGGAGGGACACACATCCATCAGACACAGCAGAGTGGCATCATCAAGTTTCATCAAGTTTATTTGTATAGCATATTTCAGCAACTAGACAGTTCAAAGTGTTTTGCTTGATAAAAACAAAAATCAGCAATTGAAACATTACATTTTTCCAAGTGGCATCATTACACATAATAATGTTTCATTTATTATGGTCCAACAGAAACCCAGGTGGGTTTTTAGTCTAGATTTAAAGAATATTAGTGTTTCAACTGTTTTGCAGTTTTCTGGAGTTTGATCCAGATTTGTGGTGCATAGAAGCTGAATGCTGCTTCTCAATGTTTGTTTCTGGTTCTGGGGATGCAGAGCAGAACCAGAACCAGAAAACCTGAGAGGTCTGGAAGGTTGATCTAACCACAGCAGATTTTAATGCATTGTGGTTCTAAGCTGTTCAGTGGTTTATAAACTAACAGCAGTATTTTAAAGTCTATTCTCTCAGTGGAAGGACTTTAGAACTGGCTGATGTGCTCTCTCTTCCTGGTTTTAGTCAGAACACTAGCAGCAGCGTTTGGGATCAGCTGCAGCTGGAGGATTGACTTTTTTAGGCAGATCTGTGAAGACACTGCTGCAGAAATCAATCAGACTTAAGATGAGCACATGGCTGAGTTTCTCTCAATCCACTGACACACTGTCCATCAGTGATGTTAGGTGAGCCAGAGTCCCCTGTCTCTCACCACCTGCAGTAGGTCAAAGGCCATCCATGCTAGGAGTTGAGCTCATCTAACCACTTCCTCTCAGCTGTAGAGAAGCTGCTGCTCCAACAGACAACACCATGAACATGGCTGATATAGTTAAGGAGGTCTGCAGGAGCGCCCCCTGCAGTCCAGAAGGTCTCAGCTTCCCTAGCAACATGAACAAAGGAAGAATTAGAAACTCAAAACAGCAGAGAATCAGAGTGAACAATAGTTTGTAAACTTGCTTGTCTAATTTGTTCACTCTAGGTTGAGGTGAACTATTGGTTCACTTTGTAATATTAATTTTGCACATTTTCTTTTAAAGGAACACGTGACATAACTGGTATTTTTGACTATTTCTTTACTGATTTTTAACATTATTCAAATGTTGTTGTTTTTTTGCATAAGACAAAATATTGATGAGGAGTCACCTCATTATAATTTGCCTCCATGCTAGGCTGATGGTGGCAGATTCAGCTCATAGTGTGCTGTTTGTCTCCTCAGGCCTGATGGGACGGGGACAGTGACTGTGGAGGAGAAGGAGCAGTTTGAGGCTGTCAGACATCGTCTCATTGTGCTATTGGAGAACCAGATAACACACTTCAGGTATGAACATTCACACGACAGAAACAGGGTTGTAGTTCTTTCTAAAAAGATTTTCAGATTTTCTTCCTAAAGCCAAAGGCTGATGGATCCTCTGAGAGCAGGAAAATTTCCACAATTTTAAGGGACATGTGTTTGAACTATGACATGCACAAAATTGTGGTGGCAGCATATGAGGGTCCCAGGTGCAGTATGGGGGAGCAGGGGAGCTGTGGGGATTGCCACTGTGCTGAAAATTTTAATCAGGAGTGCTGAAAATCACACTTGGGAGTGGTAGCTTTGTGCTAGCATGGTGCAATCTTAAATCAGATAGCTCCATCCTGAAAGCTGAAGAAAGTGTAGGACTGCTGTGAGAAGATGCTGCTGATCCACACAGCATGGTGGGGACACAGGGTAGCTTCTCAGGGAATGACAGGGAAAACAAAAACTATTTAGCAATCACTAAAAGCTTAGCAGGGCATGATTGTTTGCATACTGAAGGAGGTTTTCCATTTTCTAAGGGTTTTTGAGGGTCAGAAAGTCCTTATACGGTATAAAACAACTCTACTCTGAAAAATGTCATATGCATTTACTGTTCAGGATGTTTGTTAAACCTTCAAACCTTTGGTTTTAACCTTTCATGTTTGCACTGCAGTCTATACTGTAGTTGGGTATGCAGTATAGACATTCTTTACATAGAAATATTTTCCATACAACACAATTCTGGAAAAAGTGTGTCTGACCTGAAAAACTATATAGAAGAAATGTAAATCAGTTACACTAAGTAAATGTAAGTGCAGTAAATAAATGATGTTTACATCATAAAACATAACACAAAAAATCATGATGAACTTAAAACGTCAAAACAAGCAACAAAATTTACATTTCATGAAATTTTAACCTAAAACTGTCAGACAGGAGCTCGTTCATCACAATGTTAAAACGGACAAACACACAGTAGAGTTTATACTCATGGTCTGAGCTTGAGCCACAACCAACCCGAACCTGACCTGAAATTTGGTCGGACCAGAATTATTTGCATGTTAGTTCAGTCACGTTGGGCTTTAGCTTCTGTGATGCGTCTAATAAGCCTGGAATACATCCAGCATGGAGAAAACCAAACAGAGTGCACAATATAAAGTTGAGTTAATCAACTTATTACAGTGTAACTAGAGGAGTAGATAGTTTAACCTGTTGAGGAAGTAACAAAAAGTAGATAGAGTGCAAACGTTAATTAGACTGCAACAAGCACAGTGCACTGCATACGCACATGGCTCTGTACTGCTCTGCTTGAGCAGTAGCAGTGATGGGAGGCTTTTTATCACACATCCCAGAAGATTTGCACTTTATTCACCCTGCAGCTACAACAAGCAACAAGATGGAGCTGGGAGACCTTAAGCAGAAGCTAAACCCAGAAGTTACACTGATCATTTTACCCTTATGGAGTCTTAAGAGATGGAGTCATTTCAACATGTGCGCGGTTCAGCGAGGTTCTATTGACCCCACATACCCCACATACACTTTTATGTGTTTTTTTTTATGTGTGTGTGATTTCAGGAACTGAGGGTTTGACGGGACACCCCTTTGTTTCCTGCTGTCCGACTGTGACATCTGCAGCGCTCCATCTCAGTGTCGCTTTAAGACTGTGGGAGGGTTAAATGGTGTTCTAAAAGTAAAAGCAAAACAAAATAATACATGTGGTTTAATTGGGGCCTGAGCATCTAGTTAAAGTTAATTAGTAGGGTCAGACCAGGCCCAGACACATTGCTTATGGGCTCTGGAAGTGGGTCGTTTTGGATTTATTTATTTTTTAGGCCCAATCTAAACTCTACCCTGCAGCCCTGACTTGTCTGTTCAGATGGTTTTTCAGCAATCCACACCTTGGGACATGAAACCAAAATAACTGAAATGGCACTTTTAGAGACATGTTTGGATTGCCAGGTAATAATGACCCAAATGTTGGGCTGAATAGAGGATAGGGCCTATGACTAATGACTACATATGAGACAAAATTACCCAATTTGTGACTGTGTTAGTATGATTGTTCTGACCATTTATAAGTCTGTTTATTCCAATCAAGCTCAGAACCGGAGAAGCCTTTTGGATAAGAGTTTAGATGTTTTCAGGAAACAGGAGAAGGAGCCCAGTTTTCTTCTACTGAGTCATTGAGGATTGTCAGATACTGATTTTGAACAAGGTTACCATGGCTGAAAAAGTAGAAAAATTTTGTAGTAAGCAAATTTCACAAAATTGACAGCATCCTACTAGGCTGAGCTTGTAAGATCAATCTTTTATTTTGGAGATGTTACCAGAAGCAGCTAGGTGCTGGATTCAATACACCTTTAAGCAATTGCAAGTCCTGAATTAGCTTTAGGCAATGTACCTTGATATCAATAAATGTCCCATTCCTAATTCTGGTACTTTATACTTCATGTCATTACAGGCACTTTTAAAACCATTGGAGTAGTTAAAATTAGCAGGCATAGAGATTTTTATTATTATTATTTGTAAGTTTGTATTTGTCTTCTACATTTCAAATTTCAAAAAACACTGCAGAAGAAAAACAATCTTTGTCCTCTGAGGAAAACTACCTAAAACTTTTAAAATGACCCTCCCGTTGACATAAAGCAGTGGGGGTATTTTATCCCCATCAGCGGCACACAACAGGTGCAGGAGATTCATGTTCAGTGGCTGTTGAGACCTCCTAGCATCTGTGTGACCATTCAGCACCGCCATCACTGTGTGAACTCATTGTGAGTGTGGTGTGAAAGCAACAGCCCCAAGACCTTGAGCAACACTCATCTGAATGGACCTGTGCCATTAAATATTCTGAAGCTTAGCACTTTAAACACTTCATGCCTCAGAGGGGCCCTCCATCTGGCCCTGGGGCAGGAAGGAGGGGCCAGTTGAGGGCCTGGGGGGTTTATCAGCGGGAGTCATTACTAACTCACCTCAGCAAGAGGCTAATAGTGGTAAATAATGGCCGAGACAGTGTTGGGATTAGGCTAATGTCCTCCCAGACAAAAGCAGGAGTTCCTCAGTTTGGTTTTGATTAGATGGAGCACAAAATAATTGAAATGAAATCTTAATTACAGCTTATAATCTTTATTGCCTTTAATTCATATCACTGTTTATACCCCCATTAGATGGTAGTCTACCGATTACATGATTACATATGTTCTCAATTTGCCAGCCTTTGCATTGAAAGAAATTAATGACAGAGGATTTTCTATTCTGGTCCTACTCACATGGCTTCCTAACTATTTTTATGGCATGTTTTATGGAAACTTTTGAACATCATTCCCTTCAATTGTAGGATCTTTAATCAAGAGATTTTCTACATGTGGAGCTTCTGCAGACAACTTGAAATGCTCCCCTCCTGCCCCATGTTTGACAGGGATCCTTTGCATTCTGGGTTTAACAGGTTGGCTAAGAAAGCCAACCTGTTAAACCTTGTTGCAAACCTCTGCAGAGGAGGTAAAGGTGTTAAAATAAATGGGTGTGTTATTCATTTGTGTAATCCAATACTTCTGCCAAAATAGTGTTTATATAAGGGTTGCACAGCATATTATGACAAAACCCATCCATCCATTTTCTTACACCCTTGTCCCTGAGTGGGGTTGGGAGGGTTGCTGGTGCTGATCTCCAGCTAACGTTCCGGGCGAGAGGCGGGGTTGACAAAATCAGTGTCTTCATTAAAATTGTTTTATAAATGAACACTGGGAATGCAATATTTGTTCTGTTGTCATGAATCTACACTTTGCATACCAGTAGGCTCCTCAGCCTGTTGGATTGAGTCTTACTGTAGTACATGACCACATGTGACTCAGACAATTGTGTGTAAGACAAAGTCAAAGTTGAAGAAAATGGTCTCTTGTAATGTATTTAAGCTTGGACTAATATTAAGCTGTATTTCAGTACTATTTTTACTTTTATTATGAGTATTTGCGCTGTGTGAATTTTCCTTCCTTTATTGTCTATATTGCATTTTATTTGGGTTTTGGTTGTCAGCTTACTGCTCTGTCTTGCTCAGGATGCTGTTAAAAAATGTTTTTCATTTCAATGAGACATACCTGCCATAAAGGCTACATACAAGACAATGACAATCACATATTACTGGAAGCAATATCACAATCCAGTTATCCAATATTTTTCAGCACCGCTCAGTATTTTCTGAAGCTGAGGGCAAAGTGTGGAGAAAAGTCTGTGATTGCTCTTGAATTAACTTTATCAGCTAAAACATACAGGAAAATAGAAGAATTTAGTTAGTATTTTTGTGACATTTTTCCAAAACAATTATTTACTGTGAGACAAAGTGTTGGTGGTCATGTTGCTTTTTTTTCTTTAGCTACAGTGACTACTGTTACAAGCAGCAGAGAAAAAGTCACATTTAGAGTTTGTCAAATAGCCGAGTTCAGGTCTGACCCTCACAAACCATTCATGGATGCCAAAAAACTGTATGATATACTTGAAAACTTTGGTCTGACTTTACGTGTCAAACAGGCAACACTCAATCAAGGATGCATTCTGGATTTGACCATCAATAAGGGTGTGAACCCATTTGATCATTTCTTTATCTTTGAAAGTTCAGTCTCCATTGACTGACTTAGCCAAACACGTTATTAAAAAACGTTCAACATTCAACACAGTCATTACAAACGTTCCACACAGTTGAAACTTTTCATCAAATCTACTCTTCCACCTCACTTCTATGCTGTAGCCTTGTAGATGTACTGGTAGGTAACTTCCATTCTAAAATTTCAGATATAATTGATTCCATTTCTCCCATTAAATAGAAGATTTTATCTCGTAGGAAGAAATTTCCATAAAGAAATACTCAACTAGTAAGAAGTGAATGAAGTCTCTGTAGAAGGGCAGAACCAAATTGGCATAAAACCTGCCTTTACATTTGTTATGAGACCTAAATAGAAAGACTGTGAAGCTATCACTTAACACCATAACATGTAAGAGAGCAATTATTTGTTGAAATCATAAGCTAAAACATCAACAATGCTCAAGCTTTATTTACCACAGTTGCCAGATTTAACAACCATCAGCACCTGGACTCCACTCTAACAGGACCTGCAGTGAATTTGCCAACTTCTTTACAGAGAAAATTCAAAATATGTGTGGGTTAATCTGCACATCAACAGTAAATCCAATATTAATGCTATGCCCAAACATAACAGATGCAGAGAAAATGGCTAGATTTTAACAACTCAACCACAAAAACTTAGAATTATGAGCCAATAAAGCTTGTCTTGATTTTGTCAAGAAAGTTCTACCTGTCATTGCATGTGAACTGTTTTAGATATTAAACTCATTCTTCTCATCAGTTCCCCCACCCCCAGGCTTTAAAAACATGATCAAAACCATTGATAAAAAAAAAAAAAACAAATATCTGGATAAGTCACTTCTTATCAGAATTACAGGACAATCTCAAATTTTACATTCATCAGCAAAATTATTTAAAAAACTTGTTTGAACAGTTATTTAGGTTCCTAGCAATAGGAAACTATTTAACCAACAGCTTTGATGTCCGATTTCCATGGTTACCACAGTATTATCAAAGTGTCCAATGACATCCATATAAACACCGTCACAGCTCTGTTTCTCTTGGACCTTAGTGCAGCTCTTGGCACTGATGACCATGACTTATTATGAACAGCTGAAGAGCTGGGTAGGACTCTCAAGTCCTCGGGTCCCTATGAATGAATCCCAAGGTTCAATCCTAGGACTATGATTCAATATTTGTATGCTCCTACTGGCTCAGGTTATAACAGGAGGTAAGATTAGTTACCATGGCTACACAGGTGGTACACAGTTATACATTACCATGTCACCAGGTGACTCCAAACCCATTCAAACACTAAACAGATGCTTAGAACAAATCACTGTGTGGATGTGCCACAACTTTCTCCAGCTAAACAGAAACAAAACTAAAGTTATTATCTTTGAACAATAATAACTTCAGTCAGTAACTAGTCAACACACAGCTTCAGTTATTACAGCTGGAAACTAGAGATCAGGCTGAAATCTGAGTTTAGTCATGGACTCTGACCTGAAACTTGAGTCACATGAGGACAGTTACAAAGTCGGCCTTCTATCGCTCCAGAATTAAAGGACTAATGTTCCAACAAGATTAGAGAAACTCACCCATAAGTTTATCTTTAGTCACATTGATTACTGCTGCAGTATCTTCACAGGTCTCCCTAAAAAAATCAATCCTCCAGCTGCAGCTGATCCAGAACGCTGCTGCTGGTGTTCTCACAAAAATCAGGAATATAGAGCAGATCACCCAGTTCTAAAGTCCTTCCACTGGCGTATACCTGCTTACAGGTTATTTCTAAAGGGAATTTGTCATCTGGCAAACAAGACTTATCAAAACGTATATTCTAATTTATTGAATATGACTGTATTAACTGAAATTCTTTGTTTTTAGTTATATCATATTTTTTGTGTTTTAAGCAGTCTACAGTACTTGAATCAAAAGTGCTGTTTTAGTTGCTTCCAGTTGACTTCATCACATATTTATATTCATATATTTTTGTGTTATGATTGCGATTGCATACCTATATTAAAACTTCAACTAAACACATTTTTTTTAATCCCTGATTTTTAATGAATTTTTCTCTTTCTCTTAAATGAACATCATGAACTCCTGACTTTATGAATGTGCTGAATTTTCAAACCAAGTTCATGGCTGGTTGTTTTCTTTTCTTTTCTTTTTTTTTTGGTTGTTTTTATTCGCTTAGTCGGATCACTTCTGTTCCTCAGAACAGAACATCTGCCTGTGGGTTTTTTTGTCTCATAAATGGGTGACCTGTGTGACCACTTTCCTTTGTTTATTAAGTACTGTTCACTTGTCAATTAGCAATGTGAAACCTTCATGAACTGCCAAATCTGTGTTCAGATGGAGACGGAGGTGAGAAAAGCTTCTTTCATCAAAGTAATTAGACAAAAGAAGGCAGCCATCTGTTTATGCTCTCTAATATGTACTGTGCTTCTCCAATTTTGCAATCTTTCTTTGTCTCGTCTTTTCTGCATAGTTGTCCTTGAGATTGTTTCTTAATGTGATGCCCACCTCCATTTTTCATCTGCAGATACTGCTTTCCCTTTGGACGACCAGATGGGGCCTTGAAAGCAACACTTTCGCTTCTGGAACGAGTAAGGGGAAACTCTGAAGTACTTTTGCTGTTTAATGTTTCTATTCTCAGGATCCCTACATGGAATCATAACACTGAGATTAAGGAGCTTCTCCCCAGTTGTACCTGCTGCCTAAATATATAATAGGGTATATATAATGGAATATAAACATTTTTCAAAAGGATATCATAATATCCTTTTGAAAAATGTTTTAAAAATCTCCTATTTCTCATTCTCTCAAGAGAAATTTGATTCTGAACAGGGAAAGTGTCTGCATTTAGTACAAGACACTTTTCCATTCTGCAGTTTGTGTTTGTGCAGACATGCTGGAACTTGCTTTCAGTCATAGCAGAGCTGCCTCTGCACTGCTGACTGACAAATCTGATGGCGCCAGCAGTGGAGATGTGTAAAAAGCCTTTAGATAAATTCTTTAGATACATTTTGTATCTTAATGCAGTTTGCTTATCCCCTCACTGGAAAACTGAGAAAAATTCATTCTCTAGTATGATTACATTTATTCTAAGACTAAAAACACCAAAAAGCATAATCCCTGGTGGCAGAATTATTGGTACTGCTGTCAGTAATTTTCTAAATTCAATTATATTTATTTATACACCAACAACTCGCAACACTTGTTGTCTCAAGACATTTTACTAAAAAAAGTCAATTCAGTCCAATCATGCAATTATATTCCAGGCCACATCCATTCTAAAACAATTGGAGTAACCATGCAGTGAAGATCACTTTATTATTCAAACTAGTTAAAAAGTTTCTCTTTTTTTTAGAATACTTAATTTTGGATTTCTTAATAACATCACAATTATTAACTGACAGGACAAAATCTGTTCAGGATCCAGCAAAATTCAAATAACGAGACATACCTAAAGTAAAATACATTTACAATAATAACACAACAACAAAAAGACAAAAATGACAGGATGAAGGAGGGTAAAGTGGTGAGAGGAGTAATCAATACAGATTAAATAATAATGTATATAAATCAGAGATAGGGTGAGATCGATTACAGGAAGATCAGTCAATCCAATGTGCAGGTCGGCTTTTATATACCTTAAAAATGGTTGGCATATTTTATAAACAGTCTTACTTCTATTCTGCATCCAACAGGCAATTTTTTCTAGGGTCACAGCCATCGATCTCACAAATCCATATTTTAATTGGAAGGGGGGCGTCTGATTTCCATTTTGTTGCAATACATTTCTTAGCAATTGCCAGAAGGACTTCTGTAAGTCTGCTTCTCTGTTTGAATTAAGAACACATTTTAGATCCTTACTGATAATTAGTACCAGAGTGTGTCCCACATTGGCTGTTTCACATGTTGAGTCAAAGCACATTTTTAAGTCTGCCACATAGCTCTTTTGTGCCACTGTTCTAAGATCAGTAGCTATTAGCGATCAGTAGCACAGCTGGCGAATGTTTAATGTACTACGGAGCAGAAAGCTGACGTCATTGTTTCTCCCTACATCCAGTGGGTGGCGCAGGTTGCTACAATCGGTAGCAGCCACACAGGCTCACCTGCTATAAGGAAACAATCACACCTAGTACAACACTTTCATTCTATTGGCTGAGAGGTTGTCAGGCGACTGTGTCAAAAGGCAGTTACAGGTTTCGTAAGCGAGCAGAAAGTCCGAGCAGAGACTGAGCGCGAGGACAAGCATTACAAGTTTTGAGAAGAAAGACATGAAGTCCTGCTTTCAAAATGAACAGGTGCAAAAGTATTAAAAGTTTTGAGAACAAAAGACATGAAATCCTACTTTCAGACTGAAAACGTGTGCTCTTGGATTATGGCAGAGAAAGTCCCCCCTGTTACCTGAACAGCCAAATATTTAAAAGAGACCGTTCTGACTGCATTGAAAACTACTAGATACAAATATTTAAGAGACAGTAAAATTTACAGTCGTTTTACAGTAAATTGAGTCATTAAATAAGGTAGAAACACTACGTTTAAACCATGGATAGTTTGAAAAACTTAATGAGAATGAATGAACTAATCTGTTTTGTTTAGAGTTCACGAAATGTTTTATTAACTAAGTGTACAAGCTTCCACTCCAAAGTAAAAGAGTTTAACAAATGACCTGCAACAATAAAGTAGGATAGTGTTTGGACAGGTGGATGTCTAATTTATGAATAAAGTCAATATTAGGACTGATGCTGCATTGGACAAGATCAGCCTCATCTTTTATACTCTCAATTAACCCAATTCTTCTTTGTGAATGGCAAGACAAATATATTTTGAATGCCTGTAGGAATGGCCCTATTTTGATATAATTTGTTGCACAAGCAGACACTGATGATGATGTTTTTACAAAGAACGGGCAGGTTGGTGACATCACTAATATTATTAATGATGTCACTAAGAAACTTTTTTTACCAGAGAATTTTTAGTCTAATTTCATAAAACTGGATAACAATGTATTTTCAGGTACTCATGAAAGACATCACCACACCTGTTCCTTCAGAGGAAACAAAGAGACGGGTTCAGAAATGTTTGGAAAAGGCATCCCAGATCAACTACAGTCAACTGATGGACTATGCTCAGATCAATGGTGGGAATTGTCAAAGCTAGAACTGGAGTTTCATGACACTGGGACATTCTGCATTGTCACCACCTGTTTCTATTTATTGAGTCTAAGATCTTATTGGATTTAGTAACCAGGCCCATATGTTGACCATACAGCTTGAAGAGTTTTCTCTTCAAGCTGTATGAGAATCAGAAGACTTTCTTTTTATAATTTGCTCGTGTTCATATATGTGAACAACAAAGTCTGTGTTCTTGCATTTTGTCAGACTGTTTCTTTTGGAAATATCTTTCAAAAAATGGGAATTTACTTTGTTAACTCTGAATTTATAGATTATAATACCATGATATTGTAAACACTGGTAAAAATCATACCGGTCCTAGTTTGTCCTGTAAGAAAGCAAAAAAATTTGAACCATTGTGGAAGTGGGACTTAGTGTATAGTGTACGTAAATAGCCTCTGTATTTGATCCAAGTCAAAGCTTAGCTTTCACATATGAAAGATGAGCGAGTTTCTAATGACAGCTTTGCAATCTGATTAATTCTTCCTTTGTTTGAACTTTGTTAGTGGACCCAGAAGAAGTCCCGGAGAAAAGACTGGAGGATATGTTGAGATTGGGAGAGCTGTGCATTGAAGTCCTACAACAGAATGAAGAACATCACTCTGAGGTATTTACTTCATGTACTTTATCTGCTTTCCATTCAAAGATGCAGGGAATTATACCACCTGAAAGGTGGAGGTCTGAGGATGGCATTGGAGAGATGTTTGGCAATACAGCAATACAGAGGTCATTCTTCTTTTTTAAAAATAGTCTTTACATGGGAGAAGGTCAGTAGTGGGGTGGAAAGAGAATTGAGCCATTCAAACTACCATGAAAAAGTTATACATGGTCAAAATAACAGATTTGGGTCACATTTGCCTGCTGTCTGAATGTAGTGATACTTGGAGTTGGTCATTAGTGGTATTGGTCTTTAAAAGATCCTACATCCTGCCTGGGGCATTTAAATTGATTGGCCTACAGTCTGAAGATTCTTCTTTAGTGTGATCTGTCTTAGGTGCTTGCAGCATTCACAACTTAGGCTACTGAGACACCCCACATGCTGTCTTCATTCATGTACACCAGGGGCTCTCAAACTTTATTTCCAAAGGTCTACTGGCTGGGCACAATAACTACAAAAACAATTTAATGAAACGATCACACTTAGATAATGAATGATTCACCTGCTTGGCCTTGACCACACAGTCTCACATCTTCCTCCTGGTCCACATGGATCTGAGTTGCATACCTTGTCACAGTCTCTCCCTGAATTGAGACTGGAATTACAAGTGCTCCTTCAGCCAGTTTTGAAATCAGAGAACATTTCTCCAAGTGATCAGAAGTCGACAAAACTACCTAAACAGGGCAGTTTCCATGAGAACTGGAGAAGCAGCATTCTGATTTTATGTATCATAAATCTGGAACAAACTTCCAGAAATCTGCAAAGCAGCCAAAACACTGAGTTTCTTTAAACCAAGACTAAAAGTTCATGTTTAGAACTGCCTTTGATTCATAATAACTGGAACATAATTCGTGCTGACTCTGGTTTATTATCCATGCTCCTTCTGCTTGATCTTGAACTGCGGCCTTCACATAACATCCTCCTTGACAGTTTATCCTCTCTTGGTGTTGTAAATACACCTCTGAACTGGTTTCATTCATACTTTTCAGGCTGCACTCAGTTTGTTCAGTTAAAATCATTTCCCTTTCATTCTGTTCCCGTTACCTCAGGTGTTCTCCAGGGCTCTGTCCTGGGACCCTTACTGTTCATCATTTACCTTCTCCCCTTTTGGTTATATTGTTTGCAAATATCATATTCAGTTTCACTGCTGTGGATGCCCCCGAACTGTATCTCTGAACCAAACCTAGTTCTACACTTGCACTTTCATCCCTCACTCTGTCTTCTTGAAATAAAACACTGATTCACCCTTAACTGTCTTAAATTAAATTGCAATAAAATTGAACTTCTCTTAATTGACACTAAATCAATATTAAGTAAACTTAGTAACTTCTCATTTCTAGTTGATAACACCTCTATTTTTCCCGCCCGTCAGGGTAAGAGTCTGGGCATCACCCTCGATAGCACTCTCTCCTTTTCCTCCCACACTGAGAAAAATTTGACCAATGGTTACTTAAAAAAATTGTGGCAACAAAGTGACACGTAATATAATTGAATAGAATTTAAGTTCTACAATTTTGATTAAAAGGTATTGAATATGTTAACTTAACTTAACTTAAAAAAATGAAGTACATCTTAATAAAAGCAACAGCTGAAATGGGGTTGATTTATTAATATCAATGCAAATGATCATTTATATTGCCCAAAAATATTTAGTAAATCCAAGTCAATTTTACAAGAAAAACTCATTTTTATTTACTAAGTATCTGAGCAAAAATGATGTAGATTTATTAAATATCTGGGGGAAATTTAATCATATTTACTAATAATCTAGGTGAAATTAACATATTTATTAATTAAATGGGTGAAATTGATTTACATTTACTAAACATCAACATAAAAATTATTTGGATTAAGTAAATAATACAAATAATATCAACTCATATTGTAGCACATTATTGGTTAATTCAACACATTAAAACTGTTGTTCTTATTAATCTGTAGCTAAAATAATTAATCAATTTTAAGTTTTTATTTGTATCATAGCACTTTAAATCTATTCAATAATATTGAATGTCACTTTGTTGCCATAATTTTTCTGTGTCTAATTTACACAATATCCTGACCAAACTTGAGTGGCATCAAAAAATAACAAATTACAATGCATAAAACAGCAGCAGCATTTATTTGTGCAATTTTATAAAACGTGTTTATCCAGCACCAACTAGTGCAAAATTCCTAAATACAACAATAAAACAGAGAAGGGGCAATATATATCAGTATTAAGACAAAAACATAGTGCCACTCTGCTCAAAGTATAGTTAACATGATTTTTTAGAACCATCACATCAACAACAATCAACGTGGACTCAGTTAAACTTGCTTCAACAATTTATCAATCACATAAGAGTTCACTTTATGTTTAAAGTGAACTCTTATGTTCACTTTTGGGCTCTGCATGTTTAAGGCATGCAGAGCCCAAAACAAGTATGCACATAAAACTTACCTGGGGAAAACACATGACAAGATGTGAGAGTTGGGCGAGACCTTTGAGGCATAAAAACTTCCATTTTCTTTTTTTGTATGTTTATGCTACATCTTGTCACTGTGTTGGGGCCCTTGGCTCCGTGACACTTTTCGAAAAATAAAAAACATATTAAATAAAGTGCAAATGAAACACAACAAAGTTTTCCAGCCTGCAGATCATCACCCTTCAGTGGTGAAGCCTGCATGGACTCTCCAAAAAGGCAATAGTGGATGCTCTATGCTGTATAAAAGGGACAAGGGTTCATGTGACAGACCTGAACAGATCCAAGCCATATAACAGGCACATATGAGAACAAGGGGTCAGTCCTTAGAAAGGGTGGTTAACTGTAATGTACTGCAAGAAAAAATACACATGCAGAAATCCACTGAACTGAAAATGACCCTAATTTTAACTAACTTCACCGAGCATTTCACAAAGTTTTGCGTGTTGGTTTTGACAGTGACTTGTCTATTCCCTTTTGTTTAGCAAGGGTCCGTTTTCTTAAGCCAGTAGTTTATTCCTGAGGCTGTTCACTTTTGGGGAGAGCTTTGAACTATCCAGCCCGAGGAGAAGTTTCTGAAACACTTCAAACGTGTATCTGAGCTCCTTTGGATAGGCGAGACTCACAGCATACGCCAACCCAACAAGCAGGGAGCAAGCCCTTGGAAAGTTACCCAGAGCAGTTAGAATTTTCATGCCGTCCACCACGATACCGATGTCTGGATCCTCTGACGTGTTAGCTTTGATGTTGTAGATCTTCAGGCTTTGAACAGCAAGGTCCTGTGACACACTGTCTTCATCAGCATCCTGTAATAGCAAGAACATTGTGCATATCAGACAGTGCAGCCAAAGGAGAAGGTTCCATTTCCCAAATTGCTTGCAACTGTTTGGACAAGAAAATCTGGAGTTTGTCAGCCGTTGCTTGTAATGCACTCTATTTATGTCAGTGTTTTAGACAAATCTGAGATAACACAAAAAAAAAACGCACATAATTTAAAAAGGAAAAATACATATATAAATCAATCATAATAATATATTATATTATAATCAATTATGCAATGAGGAGCTGAACAGTTACAAATATTTCTAAATGAAGTTTCTGAAATTAAATCAATCCATTACACTATTATTTCTTCCTGGCACTGTCTTGATTAATATCTTATTCTGCGTTGCCTCAGTCTTTCTGTAAAAATGTCTTTGTATTCACAAAGCAGCGTCTTGGCCATCATTTCTTAGCTCACTTTTAGGGACAAATTGCCAAGACTTAAAAAAAAAAAAAGTTATGGTTAGGTAAAGCATTCTTAGGAAAAAAATTACATAAATTACTGACAAGTTTTAAATTATGCCAGTTGGTGAAATCAAATTGAGATAGCATTCTGCACTAGCATTTAAAAATTACTTAATGGAAAATAAGAATTTAAACACACTTAACAGAGGACAATGATATACCTTGCCAAGAACTACTGGGAGAAATACAGTTATGACTATTTTGTGATTTGACTTTCCAACAAATAACAAGTACAAGAGATGAGAGAAATCACCTACTTTATATTTTAACATCTAATTCAACTTACATCGTACTCTTTTAAGAGTTCATCTGTAGATTCCCCAAGGTACATCATCAAACATCGAATGATAACATCTCTGGTCATGTTGATGTCAGGATTGCTTGGAGTCTGAAACGAAAAAAAGAAACACCAGGTGGTTTATATTACTGTTAATATTGAGTTCCTGTGCCGTCTTGGGGACCAGTGTAATAAAACACTACTCATACAAATTCTCATGCGATTATTTCATATTCCATTTATAAAGACAATCACAGGCTAACCTCCAGTAAATTTAAGTAATGATATTCCAGAAGTTTAAACACAAAACTTTGAGAATAAAATATTAGCAACGATAATGCTCAATGAAAGATACCTTGAGTAGGATAGCCTGCAATCTCAACCCCATGCTTCCGCCCTTCGAGTGGAAGAGGTTCAGAAGTCGAGGAGTATATTCATCCAGTTTGGACATGAACTTTGATTTAAGATGCACCATTGTGATTCTGTGAAACTCATCCTGGATCTGAAAGACAAATCATGAAACCAGTTTTAAAGCATCAAATATTACAAACATACATACTGTTCTTACGACATTTTTCAAAAGCAAGAAGATGG